CATCACCGTTGCCCAGGGGATGCCAAAAAGACAAATCCATGAGTTAGCCACTAGTACTACTTATACCGTGCCTTCGGTTCAATGGCCATTAGTGAGTCTGAACTAATTCAGAAAGCTAAGATGGGTTACGTCTATTAGTATTCAGTACGGAACACTGAGTATTAAAATATCTAGAAAAAAGGCAATATCAAATCATTTCCATACTGTGTTACCATCCAGGAAACAATATGGATATGTCCAGGAATCCAACTTGATATAAGGTGCTTTTAATTTCCAAGTAAAACAATGAGTCCTTAGTGGGGTTTAGAATTCTACGTGTTTATAACCAGTCTTCTATCTATGTGTAATGGTTATGTGACAATGATTTCAAGCTGCTAGGGAAAGAAATGCTGCCTAGGAAATGATCAGATGAGAGGAGGGAGCCCCCAGTGATTTAATGGTCAGAGGAAGGACCCACCCTAATTGATCAGAGGGCTAAAAGTAGTGTCAGATTTGTACCTTCCAATTTGCAAGATTCTGTCAACAGCCTTACAATAAAGTAAAATTACAGTAGTTCATCTAGTCATGTTTCCTGTCTCATTTACCTGGGAGTGCTGACAGTATATGTGGCAGGAAGGAGAGACCATTTTACTTTATTAGCCCAAAGTAAAATGATATTCCTCAAAAGGTATTATACTGCTGCAACAAGAACTTTTAAGCAGATGGATATTCCCTCCTATCTACCTGTTTATTAAACCACTTCTCACCTTTCTTTCACCTAATGAGATCATCACCCACAAAGTTTGTGTTCTTTTCCCCAGTTTAATGCCTTCCAGAGGGGTTGCCTAGAGATGCCTAGGTTGTGATGACACAACCACTCTAGGAGCACCAGGCTGGTTTCTGCTCTTAAACCTACCTTATGCCTTTCTGCTTACCTGTGGAACTGTAATCAAAGCCCATGCTGGTTGAAGGATACTAATGTAGCATAAGAGGTCCAGCTAACAAAACAAGTCTTTTAGTTGTGCTCAACTACCAATAAATTCATGTGCACATCTCTGCATCCATCTTTCTTTCTCTTTTTCTTTCTCTTTCTTTTCTTTCTTCCCCTTCCTTCCTTCCTTCTTCTCTCTCTCTCTCCTCCCCCCTGGCAATATTATTGAAGGAACTTGTCAGCTCCTTTCAGGAGTTTTGTTTGGTTGTGTTTTTTTTCTTCCAATGTACACTGTTAAGCTTTCCTGGCGGTCCCCCATCCAAGTACTAAGCACACCCTAGTCAGCCAGTACTCTGTGCTGTGACTGCTGGCAGTGATGAACTGCTTTAAGATTAAGACTCCCTCAAGTCAAGTTGTGGCTTTGAAGGAACAAATTCATTAGTTCTCTTGGCAGTCATCTGGAAGCAGTTCCCCTTTCCCTAGGACTTTTTTTCCCCAACTTCTCCGTCTAATGCCAGTGTTTCTCAACCTTGACAATTTTAAGGCATGTGGACTTCAACTCCCAGAATTCCACAGCCAGCATTGCTGGCTGTGGAATTCTGGGAGTTGAAGTCCACATGCCTTAAAATTGTCAAGGTTGAGAAACACTGGTCTAATCTTAAATCCGGAGGCTTCCTCTTGGTCTCCTGCTTAGCTTCTTGAGTTTAACCAGCGGCTGCTGGGTACTGCTGGATGAATTCGTTAAAAAGTCCGATATTTTGGGCAGAATGTCTGAATTCGAAATTATGCTGAACCCCAGACCAGCCCCGACCCCAGTGAGAGGCGCGGAACGAGACGCGTCCGCTGCGTTAGGGGCGGAGCTTCCCTGTTTACCGTTGGAACGGGCTCCATGAAGCGCATGCGTAGTAGTCGCGCTCCTCTCTTCGGCTGGCAACCTGGCTCTTGGAGAGGAAAACCGTTGGGCTAAATCTGGGAGCGGTGAGTAACGGGGTGCCTCCTGTCTCTCTTCCATTCTGTCTTAGGCGGGATCTGGCGGCCGCGAGCGATTGCTGGGCCAAGAAAAGGAGGCAGCACGACAGCCAAGCTGCTCCTGCACGAAGCGTAAGGGACGCGCCCCGTTGCAAAGCAGCCCTTAACAGGCAATTAGGCATAAACAGAAGGCGGGGGCAGAGGCAGGGCTGCGGTTCCCGCAGGATCCATCCATCCATCCATCCATCCTGGAGCCCTCCTCCACATCTATTGCACCACAGTTCCCATTGGCTTTGCCAGCCCGGGGGTCGTGTACGAGTCATCCGAGGAGCAAGAGATGTGCGGGAGCCATTAAATAGATTTATATTTTTCACTGCTCTGGAAGTCACATGGCTTTTTAACACAGTGAAACTGGAGAGAACGTGGGCAGGAGTGTGCTTTGAAGCATCATTAAGATTGGAATATTCTCCAAGTATTCTCTCATGAATCCAGGGCAGTTCTTTGTGATGCCATGGCCATGTGAGTTTTTTTTTTTAAGCAATATTATAGAAGTAGCATGTCATTGCCTCCTGGGGTACTTTACTTCTCACTTAGTCTGTTGCCTTGGATTTCCTGGTGGTCTCCCATCCAGTCAGCCAGGGATGAATACGGTGTGGCTTTTTTAGGTCACCCATAGTCAACTAGATGCTGTAGTCAGGTGTTAAGTTCAGCTCCCTGGGTGGAAATTGTCATTCTGTGCAGGGGAGAGAACAGCCATGTATGTCACTCTGAGCTACCTTTCTGAGTTAACTTCATTAAATTAGTCATTTACATCAGTGCCTTGAGATTACAAGGTTCAAGACTAGTTACCTTAAACAGTTGGGCTGATGGTAGTATTTGTTTTTAATTAAATAATAAGCAGAATAGATCTGGAAGAAACCTTGGAGGTTTTCTAGTCCAATCCCCTGCTCAAGCAGGAGATCCTATATAATTTGAGACAAGTGGTTGTCCAGTCTCTTCTTAACTCCATTGTGTGAAGCACCCACAACTTCCGACGGCAAGCTGTTCCATTGGTCAATTGTCCTCACTGTTTCTCCTTAATTCCAGGTTGTTTCTCTTCTTGATTAGTTTCCATCCACGGTATTTTTGATGTGATATTGTGGTTTGATGATATGGTTTTTACAACTGTCAAATTGATTTGTGTATTGATGAAGTGATATACAAGTATCAAATAAATAAAAAGGCCCTTAAAACATAGCTTTTGTCAGCTAGCATAGGGATCCTGTGAGTAGAGTAGAACCTTTTAGATCAGTGTTTCTCAACCTTGACAATTTTAAGGCATGTGGACTTCAACTCCCAGAATTCCACAGCCAGCAATGCTGGCTGTGGAATTCTGGGAGTTGAAGTCCACATGCCTTAAAATTGTCACGGTTGAGAAACACTGCTTTAGATGGTTGTATAATAGTTAATGGAATGTCCTCTTTGTACGTTTTTCTTCTGTTTTGTTTTTATCTTAAATTGCTTGTTTTAATGGTTTTCATATATTCTTGATTATTACCATGTACATCTCCCAGTGTCACTTTATGTAAGATGGGCAATGATACAAACGAGAGTAAATAAATAAGTTATGTATATGCAACAGGCTAACAATGGTTCTGGAAATCAAGAAGAATCCAGTCTGATCAGAAAGAGCTTCATCTAGCAAAGCATCCTGATTCTTACCAGCCAAAATGTTTTATGGAACTTTATGGGCAAAAAACGAAGGCATGGTTGCTTCATACAGGAGGCACAGTTTAACCGATATACTTATGGATCTAGACTTCAAAATTATGTGAAATTTCTATATATATGTTAACTCAAATGAAGTACTTCTCAAGTGTTTCAGAAACAATCCAAATTATTTGCATAGGATCACAAGCAAAATGGGTCTGCATGTACATGCCTGCAAATCAGCTGAGAAGAGCTTTTACGGGAGTCATACAGAGATGCTGCTGTTTTAACAATCTAAAAACTGGATCTTTGTAGTAATACATATTGTGAAGTAACTCAGGTGTGTCACGCTGCTCTAAAAACTTCTATGAACTTGACACATTTCCCTTTAAAGCTTTCTAAATCCATGATCATTGACACATCTTCTGACACTGAATGTCACAAGTTTATGTTCTGATAGTGTTGGAATAGGATTATAACCGATTATTAGAGATTATTACTCATTACCAAGTAATTAGAAAGATCTTAGGATTGTAATGGGCAGTTTGATGAAGAACAGGGTACAGCTCTTAAAAATATAAATTTTATGTTGGAGCCAATTGAAGAAGAACCAAAAGAGATGCTGCCAATATCATATCAATGTATAAGCCTTCAAGTGTGATCATACTTGGATTATCCTATCTCAGAAAAGCTTAACAAATTGCAAAATTGGGCAACAAGAATGACTGAGGGATGATTATGAAGTTTAGGGCTTTTAACTTGGAAAAATGGAAAGTAAGGCAGAAGCAGTACATGTTTATAAATGTATGCTTGATGTAGATAGTGGTTTTTTTCTCTTATCACTAACACTAGATTCAGTGAAGTTGAATGAAGGGAGATTTGTATATCTTTATCTTGTGCATTGTTTCATTGATATAATCTTGGACCTGCTAAATTTTTGCACAAGGTGGCTATCATTGATTCATCCTATAATCCTCATGAATCAGTGATCCCTAGACCTATGCAGTTATTCTGCCTGGCTTTGAGAACTCTTTGAACAAGTACCCTTTAAAGCAGCAGGTCTGAGCAGCTGCTCTGCTTTTATCCAGATGGCAAAACTCCTCTGTGCATGCTCAGGTGCCTATCATTTTCCAGTAAAGCAAAAGGTCCAGTTGGATGACTCAGAGTAGAGGGATTCAATTATGCAAGTTGAGACAGTGCATTGAATCTGTTTGCTGGTGTTCTGAATTGAGATGCTATCTTAAAGCCTATTTGACATGTCCTCTAGTATCTGGTATTGAATGTTACTTTGAAATAATGATAATATAGGAAAACATGGAAATTATATCTCTGATTTAATTATGTCAATAGTTAAGAACTTTAAATTGTTTTGCAGAGATGCTGTTGAATTTTTCTTAAGGAACCATTAAAGGCTATTTAAACTGATAAATTTTACGGATTCTCATATGTTTTAATAATCATGAAAATCAAATTAGAGGTACTAGCCTCTACATGTATCAAACAGAAGAAGCCATGGCCTCGAATCACCTGGCTGGGAGAGGTAATTATAATTTTTTTATATATTGTACATTAAAGGTACATTCCTTCAAAAATTAAATCTTACTGGCATAACTTCAGGTCATTGTGCAAATCTGAATAATATAGTAACAGCAATAATCAATCTATAAATCATTAGGAATTAGAATAAATACTATCTGAGCAGTTGAAAAATGCATCATTGAAAGTTAAAATATCTACTTTGCTTTAGAAAAACATTGAATATCCAAAAGTTTGAATTTTTCTTAACGTAAAGCATTCTTATCTAAACTTTTGTTTTATTAACTAAAGTTCTTTGGCAGAACAGAATTTTTCAGTTCAATCTCGGATTCATATTATGCTAATTTTGTTACTGCAGTTTATTTACTTTTTGAAGTTATTTGATTCAGGATATTTTAAAATGCAATACTAATCATGTGTTACTTTTACATTTTATTCTTACAATGCTTAAAAAGTTTTTTTATTCATTATATTTTTAAGTATTTGTTATTTTAAAATAAAACATACCGTATATGTTCAAACCCTGCTTTGTACTATGGCATTTTATAACTGAATCAGTGATAATCAATGTGGGATGGTTGACATTGCTTTTTATATACTCTCCTTAAGTATTTGTTTCTTTGAGTTTTTAATTGTAAATTATATTGAATCTCTGATTTGGATATCTTATAAATCTTAATTATTACTATTATTGTTATTAAAATTCTGTATCAGATCTTTTTTGCTGCAGAAAAAAAATTGAACAGCAGAAAAGTCTTGTTTTCAAAGAACATTTATCTTTGTGGAAGGGTCAAGAAAGAGTTTCTGAATCAAGTATTATGTCATTTAATTTTTTACTTTTATTTCTTATTTATTTATTATAATACTAGCAGAATTCTTGAATTAATCCAGATATTCATTAGCAAGAAAAAAAAGTAATATATAAATAAAAGACTGATACTTCTTTTAATAGCAAAAAGAGGCTGTTTTTCTATTGGATGACAAAAACATACAGGAAATTAACCTGCTTTCTGGAAAGACAAAAAAGAAGATTCCACAATTACAGACTTTTCTGAAGAATGTTATTGTATTATCAACCTCAAGAAATGGTTAAGTATTACAGTATCAATTCCTTTTACCTAAGTGTATGAACTTCTGTTTTTATATAATATAAAGAAATTTCTAATGGCGAAAGTCAGCAGTTCTTCACTTGTAAATTAACCCTTTTTCTGGTCATAAATACATTATGATATAAAATTATTCATGTATTTGGAATATTAGACCTTAATTGAATATACATTTAACTGGAAGGAGTCTCATTGAAAAAAGTGAAGCTTATAGTGCGTATGAGTATATGTACATATCAGATCACATTCTAAATTGATGCACTTTAATCTTTTTCACATAGGAGCTTGGTTGGCAGGAATGCTTAAAACAGGAGAGCTATTTCTTTGGAACAAGGATCAGGACATTATAAAAACTGTTCCAGCCATAGAGGAGTCTAAAAAGGTTGCTATGGCAGTGCAAGGTATGATTGTTCAACCAATATAATTGTCCAATATTTTTTTTTCATTTTCATCTTTTTTAAAAAAAAAACTCATGTTTTTTTTAAAAATATTAAGAACTGTAGTTTAAAAATTGTCATTTTTCTTATAGTATTTTTTGTAAATATCAAGGCTCCTAATTATTTGTCATATGCCAATGACACATTAGTATCTATAATATATGCTTATTGAAGCTATTACCACAAATAAAGTGTGTTGCTTATTGCAGTAAAAAACATACATGATAAAACATATGAATTCTTTATTCTACTTCTTGATTTCATACAAGAAACTATATTTGCTTGTGATAGCATGCGTTTTGTTGTCATAAATTAACTAAATATTTTGAGTAAATTTAAAAGAACTGAATAATTCTAACACTACATTATTTTCTAGAACATTCCTTGAGGTTATGCTTACGTGTTTCCGGCAGTGGAAATAAAATACTTCTTGCTACTCTAGATGTCTGTGTTTTATTGTGGGAAAGCATAGAATCAAAAGCAACACCTTTCCAAATTTCTGCAATGGGACAGTGGTCCCAAATTATTCCTGAAGCTTCAATTGTGTTACCAGCCATCGAAGAGAAGGAAACTGTAGTTAGTGTTGATTTTATTGAAAATGAGGTAAAATATAAAATACATCTCATTTATTGACAATCAAGTATTTTTCAAATATATAGTGACTTTTGTTATAACAGCCATGTAATTCTGGTTATTGTTGAAGACTATCGTGTGTTTATCTGAAGTAAATATTTGTTTTTATATTGAATCTGTGGCTGTTGCCTGTATTCCTCATAATCAGACTGAGAATTATGCTGCTTATGCGGCCTGACCTGCCAACCTCAAGTACAGACTTCTGGATAAACCGAGAATTTTAGATACCAAAATACCAGCTTTTGCTTATTTCAGGGATGGGCTTATCAGCGAATATATATGGTAATACTTGTTAAAAGTATATGTATTTTCCACATATATTTATATGAAAGCCCATCGGCAGATAAGCTGACCCTTGAGTTTTTAACCAAAATACCATGAAAAAGAGTGGCACATTTTTCATGGTATGTCAGTTAAAAAAATTTTAGGATGGGCTTGTACAGAGTACAGATAGTCCTTGGTTAATGACTAGCTTAGCAACTATTTGAAGTTACAATGGACCCCCAAAATACTTACAACTTGGATTGAAAGTTCCAGTGGCCGACCCCCATGGTCACATTTTGGGTGCTTAATAGGCAGCCCACATTCACAGTTGTTTGCAGCATTCCATGGACATATGACCTTGATTTACAACCCTTTATTTTTGCCAGAAAACAGCTGTTACTTTCTGTTTTTGGCAAAAAAAATTCCCATTACAAACAGTAGGATCATTTAACAACTGCTGTGTTCACTTAAAACCTGTCTCACACATACACTTAACAATCACTGCAAAAAAGTATTGTAAAATTGGGTTGATAATATAATGCCCAGCTTGGCACTACTTAGCAACTATAATTCTAGGATGAATTACAGTAATAAATTGAGAACTACCTGTATATATGGTAAGCTGAAACCTGACATTGTTCAGGAAGGGATAAAATTGAATGACTGGGATCATGAATAGGGAGTCTTCTATCTTGCAACACTTTTTATAGTTCCTTTTTAGAACATATTTAATGCCCAACATCTTCGTCTTACCTATGTGCACTTACATGTTTGCATGCAGTGGCAATATATTGCAGTTTCTGCTAAGTTTTGTGCATGTCTTTTTCCAGACAACACAGTAGAGCTTAGAATCCAAATCATAATATTGCATATGCAAAATAGTTCATTGTAACTGCAGTTTAAATTTCTATGGGTGAATACAGAAACGATTAAGTCTTCTATAACATCTTAATTGCTGGCCACATGGTAAAATATGAATAATTATCATATTATATACATTTAAAAAAATTATAGGTATTTCAAGTGAGTTATTCAAAAATGTTGATTCGTTGACAGATATTGGGAGAATGTTGCTTGGGTTCTTTTGCATTTTATTCTGAGGCCCAACTGGTGCTGATATTTTTGAAGATCAAATGGCAGGAGAACGGTTTAAAAAATGCAAGGTAAAACATAAATATTCTGATTTTTAAATGCAGATGTTTATATCAGATATTTAATAAGATGCATATCAGTTAAATGTCATTTATATGTGTGCATGCATGCATGCATACATACATGCATACATACATACATACATACATATATATGAGAGAGAGAGTATTATATTTTTCCCCTTGGCATCTGAATGTATATTTTAGGAACATATATAATCTATGGTTCCTTCCTAAAAATTCTAATAATTTCCAGAAAACTAAAGTCGATATTACACTAAATCATAATATGCAGTAGATGAGATAGAAGGAGCTTAAGTGAAGCCTTGGACTAACATGGCATCTCATTCACTATTTTTCAACTGCATAGCTCAACTAACTTAACTTTTAATTTCAAAGAATCTGAGTTTAGCTTTCCAGACAATGTAGCTAATAAAAATGGGGTATGAAGCAGGCGGGTTAAATTATTTGTAGTTCGTGTCTAATAACAACATCCTCTGCATTCTTTACCAAGAAGAAAATCTTGACTGTGTACATCAATAAAATTATTTTCCATTTTTCCTGTAATATGCACTTTTTTCTTCATTCCATGTAGCTCTGTTCCATGTCAAACACATTGGGCACAACAAACGTGCTCGCTGCTTAATTTGGCTCCCTCTTGTGAATCCGTGAAGTCAAGAGGTGCTTTGCTTACTGAATTCTCACATGATGGACTTGTGCTAGCAATAGCTCTCAATCAAAAGGATCTACAGGTACCAATGTTAAAAGCATAATAAGAAAGTGACTTTATTAATATTGTGCCTTTTATTAAGTTTGGCTTTGTAAACTACTTTGAATACATCCAGTATCACCCTGGTAGAAGAAGATGCCTAGAACGTAATTGCCTTCCCCTTTCAATTCTTGGCAACCATCACTTTCTACATTTATATATGATCACGGAACCTATCTGGCATGCAAAGCTATAGACTAAAAAAGGGAAATCCCTGTAAACTGGTTAGTCACCCCTACCTCTGGCCATTTTTAAGGAAACCCCCCACCCAGTCTTCAGTTCTACTTGATATAATTCCTCCTATTAAAAGAATATGCTACTGCTTTCCAGGAAGGGGATGAGGCAACACTTCCTTCTGGCAGTGCAATCTTTAATCTTACTCTTTAAGTCTTAAAGTTTAAAATTATATTCAGCAAAGCGGTCTTTAATGTTACTCTTTATGTCTTAAAGTTTAAAATTATATTTGGCAAAGAGACTTGCAATGTAATCAAGGAGCAGAGTAATTTTGTATCCTGCCCAGAATCAGCATTTATGTTCAATAAATAATTTATAAAAGGAGGATCAATTTTTAAAAAAAGATAAAGAAACATAAGGAGGCATTAACAGTTAAATTTTATCCCGGTATTTTGTTCATGTTAAATATATTTTCCTTTTCCTGTTTCTTTTATAATGCTCAGGGAACTCAAATTCTGTTTATGAGCACTAAGAATTTTATTACTACTTCAGGGAGTCTTAAAGGTTGTGGTAGCAAGAATCCCCAAATTCCATCCAAATTAATAAGGTCAGTAGGAAATCAGCTTTTTTCCCCCCAGAGGATATTTTGAAATCCAGTGTGGATATTTTAGTTGCATGTTCCTGAAAATATTATTTGTTGTTGAAGGTCTTACTGGATTTCTGACATGAGCTGGACTCCTGATAGTCTGTTTTTGGTTTGCATGTTAAAACGTGGATCTCTGATCATAATGACATGCTTGGGTGAACTGATGACTTTAGTTACTTATGGCTGCTCTATAGAATTTGGACCAGCAGAATTCATTCCTCTACATCCATTAATAATACACAGGTGAGATAATTAAAAAGAGGTTTAAAACAATTATCTGAACTTTATGTTTTTCTTCCATATAGTTTCTAATAATAATAATCATTTGCTAAACCTTTACGCTATTCAACTCTCAATGACTCTGGCTGGCTCACAATAATAAAAAAATTACAATAAAATCAATAAAATAAAAGATAAAGATAAAGGTTGGTGAGCATGATAATCCAGAAGGAATTAAGCGAGTGGTCTCTTCTTTGCCAAAGATGAATTCATATTTTAAATTAAACATTTCATTTTTTCACTTATTCTTTTATTCTCAGGCAACAAAAATGGCACGGGCAAGAAAGATTAGCTCGATTTTCAAGGACCTCTACTCATTTCCTATGAGTGCAGCTTAACATATTCAGGGTGGGGATTTAGCCTAATAGAATGGATAAATCTTTTAAGTGAGATAAACATTTTTGCATTATGATATTGTACATTAATCTTCTATTTTGTTGATTTATTCTTCTGTCTGCTAGATCGCAGAACTCTCTCTTGAATTCTAATGATTCATCAGTTTCTGAAGGAGACTTCATGAGGCAGAGATTTTCTGTAATATGTCACTCCAGTTTGCCTTATCTCATTGCCTCTGATGGATACATGGTTACAGTTCTTAAATTTTCCAGTGAGTTTTCACCTTCTACCTATACAAAGTCATTGCTGCTTGATTCAGCCCAAAGACTAGAAAAGTTGCATCACAATTTGATCAAATTCAAGGTACAACTGCTTTCTTAATTTTCTAATACAATATAATATTGGTTTGCAATTAAGGTCCATAGATTCCTTTCTGAAAATGGCCACAGAACAGTTGCTATTTACAATATTTTTTTTTGTTTCTTTATCAACTTAACAACTATATTACTAACTTAACAACTGCAGTTAATAACTGTGGCCAGAAAGGTAATAAAATGGGGCAAAACTCACTTAATTTAAATGTCTTGCTTATCAACAGCAATTTTGGACTCAATTGTGGTCATAAGTCAAGGATTACCTGTATTCTTTTCTTCTGAAAATGTCTCCTGTTGCTCTCTTCTATACATCTCTTTATTCGCCTGCTTAAAGTTTCAGACTCATTTCATGCTTGCTATCATGTAGTCAAATTGTTTTTCTTCTTCAGGAACAGATAAAAGCCTTACAGTTCATTTCATATGATCTGATACTGACGTTTTATTGAGCATAGAAATAGATTATGCCTATACTTCATGACCCACATTTCATTAGGCATTTTCCAGATTCCAAATGGCACGGTATTTCAGATAGAGAATTATAACAGGGTAAAAATTAAGAATCTGCCTTTTTATCTCATAAGAATTTCTAAAAAGTACAGTGTCTCTGGCAAGTGAAGGGTTGACTGTGGTTTCGTTGATATTTTTTAAATAAATATCAAGAGTACATAATCCATTTTTATTCTGCAAGTGTTTTTTTACCACCTATTCCATTTTTCTTATACCTGTGAATGGATAATTTACTAAGGGTTTTGTTGGCTAAACTCGAATTAATATTTCCTTGGTAAATATCCAGTGTGCCATTTTGGTAGCAGCACAACAGTTACAAAATATGTTTCTGGAAGGGTACATTTGGTCCTAACTTTATTGTTTTAAGAGCAATAGGAAAAATGTTTTATTTAGCCAGATATTTTAAAATAATATTTTAAAATACTTTTTCAATTTTATTTGCAGTGCTGTGATTATTCACTCTTCTGGCCATATTGCCATTTCTGCATGGTTAATGCTGTATGTGTTTTATGTTGCTGATATCCAGAAAGATCAAACCATATAAATCATATGTTTTGTGATCTACCACGTCACCAGTTTCAGGATCTGCTTCAACTGTTGCATTCAGAAATTGAGGAGAGGAAAAAAAATTAAATGATGCTAACAGTAAAAGAGTTATATTGTTTTCTTCCATAGTCTGAGGGGAAAAAGCAGCCACTGCCGTCATTGTCTTCTTTAAGAGCTAATCTCTTACAATATGAAAATCAACTTTCTACTTTCCCTGGCACTCCAAAGTTTCTACAAGAAGAAGAGGGAGCCACTGAACTAAATGAAGAAGTATCACTATTCCAGGTATTCTGATTGCTTTATAATATTGAATGATTAATGTTAATAATTTTAAATCACAATGAATAAATAGTAAAAGATTTAATAATGTAATGTGAATTAAAATAATTGTCATATAGAAAGGCCATTTTATTTGTTTGGATGATATCAATGTAGTATTTTATGTTTGAGATCTTCTGTTGCTAATGATAAATCTTCCTTTTAAAAAACTCTTCACCATCTCCTGGTGCTCAGAAGGCTATTTACGTGACATTGGATCCTTAATTTTAACTTAGAATGAACCTACACAAAAATATCAAACATTTTACCTTGGTTAAGTATTCATTTACATCTTGCTGAACAGATATCGAAACATTCATATGCCAAACTGGCCATAGAGCCAGATTAGTCTAGTGATTAAGGTACCAGGCTAGAAACCAAGAGACTCTCCATTTTATGCATGAAAACTCTCTAGGTGATTTTGGGTCGTTCACTCCTTCTCAGCCCAACTCATCCCGCAAGATTATTGTTGTGGGGAAAATAGGAGGAGGAAGGAATGTTCGCTACCTTGAATTATTTATTATAAATAAATTTTCATATGGCTGAAAATCTTGATTATAGTTTTTTTTTTTTAGTTAGGAGACTATTCTGGAACTTAGTTCCAGGGGTTTTCTCATCAATGAGCAAAAAGCCTTTTCCACTTATTCAGAACTGTTTCTTCCTCTCAATGGAACAGCACTGTATAAGAAAAGTGAATTAAATAGGGTTACTTTTTGTAATTGTGCAAATTTGCCCAACCATCTTTACTTTTTCCCAATTTTTCTATTGTTGCTTGTTTGCATTCATATTAATGTGATAGCTTAAAAAGCCAAAATAAACTTATCCAACAAGCATAACACAAGCACACTCATCTACTCCCCCACCATCCGCATGCTAACAGTCAAAGCCCTGCGGATACTATACTTGCTTTGGATACTTAATTAACATTCATAAAGTATTTGTTCCCATCCTTACAATTTCCTTAGCAATAGAGAACATACGATTTAATTTTTTTTCTTTCCCATAAAGGATTTAGATATCTCACTTGCAACAGTTTGTAGACAGCACTTAGAGAAATATTGTGTTCAGTATATATACAATATTATATATATATTTGTATCTATAATTATTACTGATACATGTGTCACAAATAAGCATCTTTCAGATGTATATCGTTTTTTTAATATAGGAATGCAATGAAGAATCCAGTGATGACATTTTTTTTCAAAGTAATTCATATATTTTGGGAAGCCAAAAAGCAGATTTCTCTTTAGGTGATGAAGGCCAGCTGGAATTCGCATCAATGTTTGACACAATTCATGCAATAGATGGAACAGAGAGAAAAAAAGATGGCCTATTGTTTGAACTGAACCATATTCAAAAAAATCTCATCGCCGCTTGGAGAGTGGGCATTTCAAAAAGTATAAAAGAAAAAGATATATTATTAAATTTTAACATTCGTTGTGTTGTACACTTTTTTAACATTCTCCAGCATGTGAAACTTAAAGAATTAGATCATCCTGTCAAGAATCAATCATGGATACAATGTGTCTTAAACTGTTTCCAACAATTTTTGACTGTCCTAAGTTGGGAAGATCAACACAGACAAACATTGGGGCATTTAATGAAATTCACAATGCAGACCTTAAAACTGATACTTGCAGAACCACAAGATCACCTTTTCTCCACTAATCTTTTGGGGGGTTTCTCCTTGCTGAAGATGGTTATTCATTATTTAAATGCCAAAAAAATACCACAGTATGAAGTTGTTCTAGCAGATCTGAGTGGTAATAATAAAGTGGAACTAGATTCTATTGATGTGCCTCTGTTTCAAAGCATGGATTGGAATAGTCACCAGAAGCACTGTGCATTACATTCTGTGCTAACGTGTTCTCTTCCAATGGCAAATCGAACTGAGAATCAGGAAAAAAGGTATTTCTAGCATAAAAATTATTACTTTAAATATTTTACTATTTTGATGTATAATGTAATTTGAATCATGAATAAAATATCGTAAATAAGAATTCTGGGACAAGTAAAATGCAAAATTTGAGTTTGGGTACCTCTTCTGGTCTCTTAACACCTATAATAGATTTTAGTATGAGACCTAGATGCCGATAACCACTGGGACCGCCAGAGCCAATTTATGCCATAATCTTTCAACATCAGTTTTCAGATCTTAATACTTTGTGATCTTCTCCAGTTCTTTGTCTTGTATAATATTCTACTATTTCCTGGTATTGCCTATCAATTAATCACACTTTCTTTTTTTCAACCACAATTAAATCTATGTATTATGAGCCAAGACATTACCAGTTTGTATTCAGAAATCCCACAATATTTAATCTTATTTTCAACTACTTTTTCAACTCTGTGTTCCCACCAATTTTTCATTACTGTCACATATTTTTTACAGATGTTCCAGTGACTAATTTTGGTGACTTGTGTTATGCCACTGTTCATAATCAGTTGGTGTGATCTTGCATGAGCTGAATATCTGATCTACTGTTTCTTCATACAATCTACACTTTGAATCATTTGATAATAATAACTATAATACAGTGTGAAATTCCATTATTATTTATGGGCCTAGTTTGCAGCCCTGGATTTCCTGATGATTTCCCTTTGAAATAATAGTGTAAGATTTCTTCTACTGAATGGAATATGTAAGGATTAGTCAATAGTTTTCTTTAATTTGTTACTTTGTGATATGTTTAATTCTTTTTAAACTTAGGTTAACTGTAATCTGGCGACACTTGTATAAGCATGTGATTTGGTATTGGGCACAACTAAACAGAAAAGTGAATAACTCAAACAAATCAGTGACTGAAATCCAAATTGCTCAGGAAATTCCAGTGATCAAAGCACTTGCAAGTCATATACAGGCAATCTTACAGTCTTCGGGAGAAAGCTTGGAACAACTTCTGAATCTCAAGTCTGTGAATGGTTAGTGTCTTGAAGAAATCACCATCACTTCATATACCTTGCATAAATATATACATGTAAATATGAAATTGATCCTCCACCACCTGCAATGCTAATAACTGACACAACTTAAGGGGCTGATTTGATGTTAAATTCTGCATTCAATGGAATGAGATATCCAGCAAAGGGTTAATGTTCCCATGTCTCTATTTTGAGAAACAAAATGAGTTCCTGATAATACCCACAGTGAACTTATTCATAAAGATATTTTTTTTTCTAATTCTATGTAATGTATGTGATATCTCAAGCAAACTGGTCTGAAGATTAAAATTAGTTTAAATGCTAGATTTCAATTTGTTTTTAAGGTGAGGAAGAGTTTCTGATAGGATCGTATAAAAAGTCTGTGGAGGCCTGGGAGAAAGCTTTTCAGGAAACAAAAGCAAAAGGTACGATATTGGTTCCATTTTTAGGGTTAGTCCTCCCTGCAAAAATTACTTGTTTAAAGAGATATAATTGGTCATTTTTTCTGGCATTGTTTTCAGTCTCTCAAAGATAGTCTCTTTAGATAGTCTTTTTGAAGTGGCATGGTAGATAGAGTTGAAGAAAAAAGTGAATGGGGCCAAAGCCAAAAGTAGATGACAAGGTCTTTCTAACTCTTATACCCTTTTTTACCCTTTATGCTCCCCATTTTTCTGTGATGATTGTTTCTATCCCAAGCAGCAGTCTGTAAAGAAGGTTGCTCTTAAGACTTTCAAGAGGGCATTTGACATCAGACAAGCTCTAATTTAAAGCTTTTATGTCTTTCTCTTTACTGTGGAAGTATACATAGTAGTTCAGTGATGGTAAACCAGTACAATTCTTTCTGTTTATAATCTAAAAAGGTGATATTGCACAAAAGGAATAAGGCAACAGAGTTGCCAATTTCAATTACCATCTTTAAGCAAGGACTACCTGCATATTAAGGTGTGAGCTTAACTGAGCTTCAGCAAATTCCTTCGATACTCTTCAATGCAAGTCATCTGATATTATGTATTGAAGCATATTCCTTAGCTAATAATTTGGTATTTCTTTTTATTTCAAGTTTCAATCTGACCCTTTCATCCTGCTCCTGTTCCACAATTGCATGGTGGAACACAAGCTCTCTTCTTGGCCTGCATCCAGCATAGCGAGGCAAGATAAAAGTATACAAATTGTCAATGTGGTGTAGTTTCAGCTAATAATCTTACAGCATGCAGACTTTAAGTACCTTATGTGTGATGTTTCCTACACTACCATCCCTTAGAATTCCCTTTGACTCTCCTATCATCACCGTAGCAATTGTTTTGGGTCCTCTTCCACAGAATAGTTGTATGCTTGTCAACCTACCACACCGTTTTCTCTTTAATCTGTTTTTCATACTCTGCCTATATAGCCTCTTAAAGTAGTAATTCTGTTGCTTGGAGAGAAGGGTAGAACTCCCATCACAGCATTCCTATCCTAAATGGGTTTGCGATTGCATAGGGAAACACGGGGAGAGAGAAAGATAGTATGAAATAGAAATAAAAGTAATATGGTTACATAACTGAATGGGAGACTTCTAAAACTGCCCCACACTTTTGTTATTGGGTATATGCAGACACAGAGAATCTAGTAATACAGCATTTGGTGCAGTTAAGAAAAAGCCAGAAGTAAAAATAACATAATTAAAATTATTAAAAGTTAAGCTTAATAGTTATAAACTATCACACAGAATTTGCCTATTCTAATTTCTCTTTGCAATAATGCTGCTAAAGAACTGAAGTTTTAAAATCATTCAGTTAATCTTGTCTAAATTACTGTTTACTCAAATGATTCAAATGAAATGTATTCTAATATAATTGTATTTGCATCATGTATTCCTGTTTTCATTTATAAATATGGATCTAAGAAGTAGATTTGCACTCATATGCATAGGGTTTATTTTTATACAACTAGGATTTATGTTTTTTAGCTTTTATTCAATTATTTCTTTCTAAACATAGGAAGAAAGAGAATACCCTTCCTTCAAACTCGATATTATCTTGCTATTTTATATTGCCATCTCTATCATTATAATGTAAGTGAGGCTCAGGGTCTGTGTGATCATCTGGTATATGAACTTCTAAAACAAAATCAAATTTCTGTAAGAAACCGAGATGTTTTAACAGGTATGTAAATGTAGAATTCTTCTTTCATCAGTCAAGTTATTTATAATAATACAGGTAGTACTCAGTTAATGACAATGATTGTTACAGCAACTCAGTTACTAAGCAACATGGTCATAAAGTGAAAAATGTTTGCACCATCTTAGTCCAGCAGTTCTAGTTGCAGTCATTAAACAATGTCATGTGACCACGACTTGCAACTTCCTGCCAGCTTCTTTATTTACTTTGCTTTTTGAGAGTTGGCAGTGAAGGTCACAAATGGCGATCACATGATCATGGGACACTGTAGGGATCATAATTACAAACCAATTGCCAAGCACCCAAATTGCAATCATGTGACTGGGACTCTTTGATGGTTGCATCTTAGAGAACCATCCATAAGTCTCATTCAGCCCTATCTAATTTTGAACATTCACTGAATAAGTCATCGCTAACTGTATTTAACGTTGCAGATTTGTTATTTTTATTACAGTGTTATAGACATACTTTGTTCATCATTTCTGTATTGATAATAGAACATTGTTTTGAATTATATTATTCATTTTTTAATTTGGTTGCTTTTAGACTCCTTTTTAAAGATTACCTACAAATCTGTTTTAAGAATAAATGGCTATTATGTTGTGTTGAATATCAATGTACCTGCTACATCTCCTTTCTCTCCAAAGTACACTGATCGTCTTGCATGAAAACAATATGTTTGAAATTTAAAATGGTTCAACTCAAAATATTTTGCACATCACTGTTTAGGGGATTCAGCATTTCAGAGGGTCTTAAAGTCCTGGCTGTTCTCTCATGCCCATGGTGAGACTGGCTGGAGCCCCTTGTATAGGTTTATGCTGTTGGGAGAATTGACAATTTTGTATTTTATTTTTGCTTGTTCTTTGTTGCTTTTCTTACTCATTGTGTACTCTATTTTCCTTGTTCTATTGTGAGCTGTCCAGAATTGTTTCTGGAGTTGGGCAGCACTTACGTCAAATAAATTATTGTTATTGTTGTTGTTATTTCTATTTGAAGTAAGCTCCATTAAGATCAGTAAGACTAAGACCTAGATTAGTATAAGATTGCAATCTTTGGCTTTTGTTTCTGAAACGCCAAGGAATTCTTATATGCTGAGTAGCAATAACTTTATTTTGAGATTTTTACTTCATTCAGTTACCCCAGACTTTTTGGATTTTCATTTTAGATGCTGAATGGATAAAAGATGTTCACACTGAAGCTGCTCTAGCAGTGGTTCAGTCTTTGGCCCGATTCATGGCAGCCTACTTCACTAATGGGCCAATTTATATACTTCCTCCCCACAGTGTTGGTATCTTACCTCCACTTCATATCAAGCCAGGTACCTTTTGATATTGTTTCATATGCTTGCTTACTGTTATATTGACAAGAAACATTACAGAGCTCTATTGAGAAGTGTTCTCCTCCCTCCTGCCCTATAGAAATGCACAAAACGTGGATTGAATATTATTGGATAGTATTTTGTAGTTATTTCCTAATGTATAATTTATCTAGTTTATTTAACTGCTGCTCCTTTTCTCTTTTAAGTAAACTAATGGCATAATACTTATCTCTGACCTTTCTCTAAATGAAAAAGGGTTTTCCTATAAAATGCATCCAATGTGACAGGTCTTGTTCCTGCGGAACTGAAAATTGTAGCTGCTGGTATAAGTTTCTGGGATAAAAGTAGGATATTGGTGGGAGGATATCTGATGAAAATGATCTACTGTTCTGAGGGCTGTGTTCAGCTTATCTGAAAACAGGCTCAGAACTCACTTGTTCTTACTTTTAAGTAAGCTTGCATAGGATTGGCCATTGAATAATTTAATAACAAAATAAACTCATGACAACTATTTTTTGTATTATAGATCAGTGCCTTCGTATTATTCCTCTGCAACACTCCAGAATCACTGAAGCAGTTAGGGATAATGGCCTGTCTTGTGCTTGGACTGTAGAATATACTATTGATTTGTTGCTAATCAGTGGACTAATTCCAGAAGCTGTGTGGCTAGCCCAGAAACTTGGAGACTGGAAAATGGCTGTTTCAATTGGAGTGGCTTATCAACTATATTGTCAAAGTAATAAAAGCTTTGCAAGGTCAGTCATATACACATATATAAACAGTATGTATACAGTAATTATTTATCATGAATTGATATTATAGCGTTTACCATGAATAGCTATTTATCATAAATAGATACCATCATTATCATCCTGACTCTATCTATTGCAGGATAAAGGCTCTCACTTGAAAGTTATGAAACATAAGCTACCATGATGGTCAAGGGCAGGTTGATGGACAACAATTTTTTTATTTAGCAATCTAATACAGAAAGAAATAAAGTGGACCAAAATCATCTATTTAGATTCTGTATTTAATGGATGACAAGAATCTAGTTTTTCTACCCATTGTCTAACACCTTAACCACTATGGATGGATGAGTTAGAGAGTGTTTCTGTGTGTGTGTGTGTGTGTGTGTGTGTGTTAGTAAATCTAAAATAGGTAATATCTACCAAATTAGCAGAATTTTGTCAGAAACATAGAGCATGACCTTTCCTACTTAGTTTATTGTTGGACTACTTCAGAGAGAAGTGACAGAAAAACACAGCAGTTTTCTTTTTGTAGTATTTTCCCATCTCTTTTGGTTCCATTTTAATGACATGTTATATGATACAAGGTTGCTTGCACATTGTGTGATGAAGGTGTAGCTCACACACTGTTACTTGGTTTTGTCATAGCATGTTTCAACCCAACCAATTATAGTTACTCAATAACTGATAGGCAAGCAACTATGCTTTTGGGCAGTATGGTAATTCAGACATAAATACTGGGCTCTTATTGTAAGTAGCTGGGTTTTTTGGGATTTGTCGTATATCTTGAAACTTCAAAGATGATTCCTAGATAAAGAATCCAACTTTTAGAGATAGTTTTGATGTTTTTAACACAGATTATTAAGAGGTTACAATCCTTGTAGAGTTACAGTATGGATATCATCTTTTTTTCCATCACCCAGCAGATTCTGTCCTTCCAGTTACAATGTATGAAGTGATAGTTGCAATAATCTTATAGGTCAGTAAGAAACATCTCTATCAAAGGCAAAATGCCAAAAATAAGTCTCTTTTGCTTGTATTATTGTGCAATATTAGCTCTTTCAGAGTTTCATATTATACTGAATGGGACAAATATCATTTGCTTCAATCAATATTTTTCTTTTGTGACTACACAAAAGCCATTTCAAGAATAGTTTGAAGTAAGCTACCCTGTTCTTCTTAATACAATTTCAGGTCAGGGAAAGTGGAATTATTCCTGCCATTACACTTGATGCCAACAAACATTTTTCAAGAAAAGCTACAATCTTTTTTGGGTCAGCCTGTCAACAATGAAACAACAAGTCAAGGAAACTTCAGATACAAGCAACCCACAGGTGCACAATTTTTTTAATATAGATTTTTTCTTTTATTATACAGTATTTCTAATCACTTTCATGCAAATGGTGTGACTTCCATATCAAGAAACGGTGGAAATATCCTTAGGTATTCTTTATGCCTTTCCTAATACACATATTTAATAGACATTTACAAGCAGGCCACCTGCTATCAACTCTTCCAAATAATGAAATACTATTGTACAATTTTTTTTTATCAATGTATACATTCCTGAACTAGATTTATAGAGGTAAAATATTTCTTCAAGTATCTGATACATCTGTGCCATTTCTTTAATAATTTTTCAGTCATTTTCTAAAGATTTTCAGAAACACACATATTACTTTAATAGCTCTCATTTTATGACCATTCATTTTCATTGATACGATATCATCAGATAACATCAAATTTGCTGGTCATTTTTTCACTAAAGCCTTTTCTGTATTGTTCTATATGAATGATTTTTGGAGATTTTTGGGATATTTAATTCACTAATATTGTGCTTATACTTGTGTTACACCCCTATATTGTTTATCTGGAAATATATTGACTGTTGTAACTAACATAATAAACCATTATTATGAAAGAAATTCTGAAATCTTTTTATTCTAGTGATATTGTTATTGTTAAAATGTTTAAGTATGAGGCAACACAAAGGGTCCATAATTTTTTCTTCTGGATCAAATGCAGCAACTGATGGACATATCAAAATTCTGGTTAAAATTCTCCTGGCATTAGCAGAGATCCTTAGCCATGTTAATTAAGTGAGGCAGCACTTTGAAAGTAGAACTGTCATATGTACTATAACATTCAGAATACAGCCTGAATGAAATGAAATGCATTCATTTGCAAAATTCAAATGCAAAATTATCGGAAATTATATTAGTAACTCAGTGTTGCTATCATTTTGAACTAAAAATATTTTTACATTTAACCATATGTTTATTATTGTCTCTGCTTTTTTGCTTATTTTAGATCCTATTGAAGAAGAAGATGCAAATGCCCTTTTTAGTTCAGTAGAACAAATATTAAAAGCAGCTGTTATGGCAGAAGCAGACATTCTATCAGAAACCTTTCAGGTTTTGATGGACTTTGCCAAGGATCATAGTAGAAAATTCTGTGGCTTGGTTCCTGATGGCTTATATCTTCCAGCACCTCCTTTATATTGTCCTCAGCCAACATTTGTGAGTGAAGTATGCATCCCAGTGTTACATTAACATTTTCTTAAATTTGTCGTGCTAATTTTTTCTATTGCATTTCAGGCTAACTTTTTTTTTCAAAGAAGTACTGTATTTATGTGTTTATTAATTTTTGAGGTGCTCTTGTAAGGAATCAGTACTAATATTTGTGTGTGTTTGTCCCAGTGTTTTTTTTTTTTGGGGGGGGGGAGGAACACTATGTAATACACTATATAGGAACTCAAAGGTAGATAAATGGTTCCCTATTGTGGAGGAAAAAGGTACCTCTGTTCTTATATCATATTGTATCTATATTTATTTGTGCCAAGGAGCTTGGTTCCTTGGGTTAGACTAGTTCTTTCTGTTGGAATATATTAGCCTATGAATTAATATTCACTGAGTATTTCTAAGTATATAAATATATTATTTATATTTACTTGATCATAAAACACATGTAAATACTTGGAAATTATAGTGCTTATCTTAAATTTTCACACTTTAGTAAATCAAATGGAATGAGGATGGGTAATCTGTCTTGGGCTTACTCTTTCCTTGGGAATTTTCATACTGTAAACCTTTTAAATTTTACAATATTCTTAGGAAGAATATACTGATGTACCATTAAAAATAGAGAGAGACTGCAGACAAAAAGTATCTGGAATTGTTCAACGGATTCTTCTTCTTTTCCGGGCTGCTCATTGTTCTTTTGCTGCTGCTCAGTGGTATATTGTGAGGCTAAAACATGCACGAAGAGTTATGCAAAAGGTATATGTCTGAAACTATTTATAATATTATATATGGGAAAAACTTTTTTAGACCTGATATATTTCATAAAATTCTAGAATTTTACTATCCTGTAGATTACTTTCAGATATGATCTTTTAAATGATAATCTCTGAAGGAAAATACCATGATTCATATAGAGATTTATTTACTTTTTATTATTTAGGTTGCCTTAAAATTATATGTTTTCTGCAAATATAATCACTGGGATATTTCCAAGTTGACCAGGAAATGGTTTGACTGTTCCAACTATGGGAAATAATTGGAATTTAGCAGAAGCCTTTTTGGTAATCTGTATTTCTTAAGAAGTAAATTCCAAGCTGATCAGTTCTCTTAATGCAGAAATGTAGCTGCAGCCCGATCACCTTCTTTACAACTTTCCCAAAAAGGAGAGGTTGTGGATTGGATTACCTAAGGATGATTGGATCTGGCGATGATCTCGTAAGGAAGATGTCCACTCCTCCTTCGAGGCTAGCAGAACCACCCCCCCTTTCTGAGAAAGGCCAATGCCCAACCATATATCCCTTCCCAAATGGTCTTCACAAATTAAGAGTGACAAAAGCTGGCCAGATAGCAGTCCTGAGAAACCTGTCTATTTCATTAGGAATTATAGGATCCAGAAGATTTATCCAAGAATATTGCCTGGAATATTCACAGTGCCCCAGTAAATGATCAGGAGCGCTGCCCTTCCCCAATAAGGAATGGGTCACCAGAAAAAAGGCCACTGGTTAGCTATTAGCAGATACATAAGATGATGATGAAGAAATAACTATGCTTCGCTACTCTTATTGCCATAATATAATCCCTAGTGTGGTAGTAATAGGTACCCCCCATACACACACTTGTAAGCTGAATTCACTATCAAACCTATGAGATGCCCCCCCCCTTCCCCCTTATACATGCAAACTGCTTACAAAGTGCCCTTGTAAGAAAACATATGCAGCAAGTTGAATTGACTCTTGAGTGGTGAAAAGAATCAGAGCCCAGAAGCTTGTGGCTCAGTAAATCAGATTGTTCATACTCACTGACCATATTTCAAAGAAGCTGTGCTTAGCTTGCTAACCTAGTAGGAAGGAATAAATAATAAGAAAGGTCACAAAGATGGCTTTATCTAAAACGTTCCAATGCCATGTCATAATTTATACCGTGTCTTCCTTTTTCCTTTGTCTTGTCTCTTTTGTCCCTCTTTCCCATTTTAGATCCACAAAAAAGGTGCCCTTCCTCCTTTAAGTGATCTTCCAGAAAATTTGCTTAAGTATTCCAAATATCATACTGTGTTCTTAAGGCCCTCTTCTTTTGGAGACCATAACTTTGATGCTGTTTCGTGTAAAACTATAGGTGTGTATCTGCAAAAAATCCAATATGTGTTTAAAAAAGAATAAAATGCAAAGCAAAAAAGCTTGTCTCTCTGTAATAGCCCTTAAAAATGTTTAGGTACTATATGAGGACAGTGTCATCTAATCTAGGCTTAATAGTATATTCAGAGCCTGTGGAAGATTCCCATCTGGCTCCTTGCACATTCCTCAGCTATCAGACAAAGAATTAGTTTCCTGGCCCATTCAAGTAGAGAATCTGTCTGTTAAAAGAAGAAAAGGTTTCCATTTTAATAAGCTGAGAACTAAATTGGGTTATAAGATGAAAGCAATCTAGTTGCTGATTTTTCTGACATTCCATTGCTTTTCAATATATCTTACTGATCTCCTGACACAAGCCACTTGTGAAAGGGCAATTTTTAAATGTTCATGTGACTTGTCATTAATATGTTGGGTAAATAATCTGTAAATAAGCATGTATACACATACATACATTGCAGTGAAAGTTAATTGATAGAAGGAAAGTGAAAAAGCTGATGACAGTAAACAATATAGCCATTAAAAGAATACATTGATTGCCTGCAGAATTTTCTGTGTGTCTCTTGCAGGATGCTTTCGAGAATTATGTATATTGTGCTGGATGCTTCATGTTCGTGAAAGATTGTCTGATAGTTGCAGACGGTATCAAAGGGCAAGGGAGAATTTGGAAAACCGGAATGTAATTAAAATAGCATGAAATTTTTATCTCTCTCTCTCTCTCTCTCTCTCTCTCTCTCTCTCTCTCTCTCTCTCTCTCTCTCTCTCTCTCCCTCCCTCCCTCCCTCCCTCCCTCCCTCCCTCCCTCTCATCTATCATTTGATTTCTATAGCCACGCACCTCAACAAATGACTGGGTGGCATATATAAGAGATTATCTTTTCACCTTTTTTTCTTCTTTCTAATTATAAAATTTAAGCTAAGTCAGTTTAAATGAGAGAGAGGTCCTTTTTTATAATAGTCCCCCAATTATTTGAAGTACCTCCCTTCCTCAGATTCCACAGACTTTACCACTGCTGCTTTTTAAGTGTATCTCTTAAAATATATGACTAGTCTAGTCAGGATTTCATCTACAAATAATCATGATTATATAATGTTTATTTTAATATTGGCTTTGTTAATACAATATTGCATTTTTGTAAGCAGCCCTGGGAGAGGTTTTATCTTAAAAGTTGTCCAACAATAATAATAATAGTCAAAGCTTATACAATACACCACTAGGGCAGACCTGTGGGTTTAAATCCAACCTACCTGAATTACTCAGAAAAGGAAGTACAAGAGGATGGTCAATATTCCCTTTAGCCTTATTCGAATATTAAATATTAGCTTTATTCAAATGTCTTAATAGTACATATATTTTTGTGGTAGACCGGGGTTTAGATTTCATGTAGTTTGAGATGACAGTAACCATGTAGATAAGTTTTTGGCCAATTACAAGATGTTCTTTCTTTAGGAATTCAAGAGGATCGAATTTGATGCTTGCATAGTTGAGTACTCTGTCAGTGCTTTGGAGTGGGCTTGCCGAATGCTTCCTTTTGCTAGATTCATGAACATTGAAGAACTTGTGCAAGATATCATTCTGAGCCTTATTGGAGAATTACCACCAATTAAAAAGGTATGCAGGATTGAGCAGTTTAGCTTTTTTGATATAGGTAATCCTAATCTGTTCAGCAACCATTGAAAGTTAAAACAACTTTGGAAAGAGTACTTTATGGCCTGTAAAGCACTTCCAACCATTGTAAAACTTTGTGCCAACCCCCTCCCCTGGTCATATGACCACATTTCGGGGGCTTGGCAACCGGCTTATTACATTTACAATCAATTGCTAAGTGCCCCACAATTACGTGATCACCATTTGCAATTTTCTCTGCCAGCTTCCCCAGTAAGTTAATGGCGAAGCCGTCAAGAAAGGTTGCAGGTCGACGCTGCAAGGAGAAGAGAAAAAGATGTCTATTGCAGAGGAAGGGATTTATATTTTCTCAAAGACTACTACAAGCAACAAAAATGGATCTACTGGCTGAAAGGGAAGCGCTTCTATGGAAGCCTGTGTGGCATAGAAAAAACCCCAGAATTAGACTGAAAAAGAAATTTAAAACTGTTTAATGGATTAAAAGGCAATGCTGGTTTTATGGATTGTTTTAAGGACAATGATCTAGAGCAGTGGTTCTCAACCTGTGGGTCGGGACCCCATTTGGGGTCGATCGACCATTTCATGGGGGTCGCCAAGCAAGGCTGTCCGCCATTTTTTTATCCGCCATTTTTTCCCCCTTTTCTGGCGGGTGCCTTACCTCCCTTGGGCTGGGCCAGCTGGTGGTCGGCCTGCTCCGTCTCTGCCGCTTCCAAGCTACGCCTCGGCCGGCGCAGGGGGCGGAGCCACGCATGCGCGGCGCTCCCGGGCAGGGAAAGTCCTCGACTTACGACTGGTTGGGTAGTCCTCGACTTACGACCGGTTTAGTCCTCAACTTACGACCGGTTTAGTCCTCGATTTACGACCGGTTTAGTCCTCGACTTACGACCGGTTGGGGGTCGCGGCATTAAAAAGTTTGAGAACAACTGATCTAGAGTTAGAAGTAAGAAAAATACAATTATATACATGTGTGTTTAAATTAGTTAGATGATCTTTTTGCTTTATGGAAATTTGGTACAGAAATATGAAAGTTAAAATTGGAGTGAAAAAAGAAACTTGGCTTTATGGATTGTATTAAGGATAAAAAATCTATAATTATACATATATACATATATGTTTAAAGAGACTAAGAATGTATTTTTTGGATTAATAGATTGATTTTGAGGGAAATCATGTACTGGAATTGAAAAAATGTTGTGTTTTTAGATTGGAACTTTGAAGTGCTTAAATTAATTAGGTGATTTTTGTGTATAATAATACGATCTGATAAGGTATGATAATTAATTGGATGGAATTTGAAGTTTGTTTAATGAATTGAAATGAATTAAGATTTAACATTGTTTCTTTTAACTAAGTTAGTTATTATTGGAAGAAGAAATAAATGAGATTGGTGACAAAAAGAGGGATGAGAGAGATTAAGAGCTTGAATATATCTGGAAGAGATACTTGAAGTGATAATCTGTTGATGTAAAACAATATTTGATTATGGTAATTGTAAATTGATGAAGTTTTAAAACAGGTTTAGTAGTAATAGAAATTTAAGCTAGAAATGGAATATATTAAATCTATTATGTTATTTGAGGGAAATAGAGAGATGACAGTGAATGTACTAAGTTGAGCTGTTTATGTATGTTTTTTACTTTGGAATGTTTGTTTACCCAAACACCACGGTGTGTCCTAAGTACTTTTTGTTAAAATTAAAAAACCAATAAAATATATTTAAAAAAAAAAAGAAAGGTTGCAAGTGGGGGGGGGGATGGAGGGGAGCTGCAATCCTTTGTGGAACTGGAGGAAAGCTACTGAAATCTTCAGGATTTCATCTCTTTTTCTGCAGCCCGTCGAAGAATTCCCCCTTCATGTATGGAAACCTTTGCAGAAATGTTTGAGAGCAACAGGGCTGCTTGCCAGGAGGGTTTCATCTCCGCATGGATCTGAAATCCTTCAGCATGCAGCTCTTTTGCTGGAGATTGCAGCCGGGATTATGGTTGTTGAGTGAAGTAGTCACATGGACATGTTGCTTAATGACTGCTTCAACCACAACAGAAGCAATTTGTGTCCCAGTGTGATTGTAAGTCATACACTATATGCCTTTGAATGTTTGTTTTTACAAGCGTGCAACTGATTTTTGGAAATTTTACCAAGTATCTGGAAGCAATTGAAACTTCATGTTGGTTTGTTTTATACAGGTGGCAGAAATTTTGGTAAAAGCATTTCCTAGCCCTGAAGATGTGAGGGTCTCACTAAGGGATAAACATAATGATCTATATCAACGACTTAGGCACTGCACAGTTAAAGGTACAGTGTATGACAAAATAATGAAAGCAAAGCAGTATTTTTTTTCTTAAAAAGAAAGTTCCTTGAAAAATGAAAATATAAATACTCATAGTATGAATTATTGTCTTTAAGTAATGTGAACAATAATATCC